TGTTGGTCAACAGCCAGCTGAATATGAGCCAGCAATGTGCCCAGGTGGCCAAGAAGGCCAATGGTATCCTGGCTTGTATCAGAAATAGTGTGGCCAGCAGGACTAGGGAAGTGATCGTCCCCCTGTACTTGGCAACATCTTTATCACGGCAGCTCAGAGATCTCCATTGCTTCATAAAATTAACTGTCATAATCAGATGTAAAATGGAAATTAAAAGAAAAAAAAGTGTATGCATACATTTTAAATAAATCTTCTTTATATCCACATCCAGAAGTTTTAAGTGATCTTCCCTGACACATGTAGGTGAGAAAGCTTCTGAAGTGTGCATGTGCTCCCTGGCCATTTCTTTTTTTCCTGAATACTTCAGTGCAGGTGGGCAGTAGTGTCTGGCTGAAGCTCTGGTTAAGTCAGTTTGGGCTGTCTGCAGTTCCTCAAGGGCTACATCTCACAGGGAGCTGGTGGTTGAACTCTGTGGAGAAGAGCTGCTCTAAGGAGAATAGTTGACCAAAGCATTTTCAGGTGCACGCCTCAGGAAGGCACTCCGTACTCTTTTCAAACTGTGAGCTCACTTCAAGTCTTGTGGCCAACGAGACTAGTAGGCAAGGACCACTTGCCTGTCAGGCTGCCAATTTAGTAGGCTGGAGCACATCATAAACAAAGACTGCTTCTACAGAGGAGCAAATAGCCTTCTCTTGCCCCCTACTCCACTGCAGCCCCAGCCATCAGCCAGTGCAGGACTTCCTGGCTCTCGATGTGGTCAGTTCAATATACAAGCATGGCTGTCAGTCAGGTGCAGCTGCACCTCCTGAGATGAAAAAAAAGATCCTGATAATAAAAAGAGCTCCTTTTATGCATTTACCTTTTATTGTTCATGATCAGTGATGGCGGTGTTACCAAATGGATCCCCTACCCCAACTGCCCTTTCTCACATGAAATTAAAAATTAAAACAAATTAAAACGAATTCTTCTCAGCATTTAGGAACTTAGAGATTCTTTGCTAAAAAGCTGACACACTTATTTTTAACGCTAGTAGATTTAGCTGTGAGAGATTAGCCTTATATTCCCAGTTGTGGAATTCCAAGAAAGTGGCTAATTGCCTTCCTCTGGGTCTAAAATTTGATTACAGATGAATATTTCTGCTTGAAGTTATATTCTTAAATGGAAGGGTGATGCAATTTCTAGGCTGAAATGGTGGCAGTAGAAGAGGCCAAGACTCTTGAATTTGTTTTAAGGCAATAATTATTTTACTCTGCACTCTGTAACATATATATTCTTATATAGACCTACATATGGCATGTGATGAGTATGTCATAAAATTTCTCAGAGAGAGAAGGGTCATTATTTTTAAATGTAATGCTATTCATTGTAAGCAGCAGCCCATAATTAGTTTCTCTGGATATAGTCAGTCATGTAGTCACATCCATCCTAACTTGAATGTCCTGTTACTAAGAGAGGTCACCTGAGTAACTGAATAACAGATCTGGCATTCTGTTGTGGTTATGTTAACAAATAAGTTATAAATATTCAAATGCTGTTACTCACTTTGGTACTTAAAAGCATGTTACATGCATGAGCACAGGTGTTGCAGATCTATATGATCATGGTCATAAAAATTAGCAGATTATTCTAATAATCTTGTTTAACTATTTTAATCTATAATAACCTGAAATAGTCAACTAACAGTTCATCAGACCATATACTAATAATTTACTAGTCCATGGTAAGCTGTGTGTAACTGTGGCCTTAATATGAATTTTGACTCAGTATCAGTCTGACAAATAACAAAACCAATTAACTATCTGGACTGGATCCATGCTCCTTAAAGGATCCTATTCCATATGTATTTCTTTCTAAATAAGAAAAAGTACACCTGAACATTTGATCATTTCATTCATTCAACACCACTGAAAGGGAAATGCATGTACTGCCTCACAGGTTCTTTGATTTGAGTTTAGTGCGTAAGCAGAGCAACACAAAAATACTTGAACAACATACACACACAGACAGCCTCAGAGTCACTTTCTACTTTTTTTTAACTGTTCTTTTGATCTGTCTGTAGCTTTTTGACTCGTTTGTAGAATCTTTTGTAGAAACACAGTTCATACATTAAAAGATTCCAATTTAAACCTTCCTTTATAAAATCCAAACCTTTCCCAAAGAAATATTCTTTCCAAAAACTAGTCAATTTTCTATGAAAGAATATTAACAGATTTTCCCCATTTCCATGAATGGAGATATGAAAGCTTACAGTTTCAGACATAGCATATTTTAGGTAAAGGTGGTTTTATATACCTATGATAAAGTCATAAGGAATTTTTGTCTCTCTCCCAAAATTACTTAAAAGAATAATGCACTATTAAAATGGAAATCTGACAGCAATTTAAAATTCCAAAACATGACAAATAAACACCCTTAAACAAAAATACTATGGGAAATATTGGACTAATTGCAGTAAAAATAAACAGCGACTTGTGTTTCTATGTATGTGAATGGAAGCCCAGTGAACATAGAATTTACAGTATAATTGCACGGTACTTACATAATACTATATAATTTAGTTGCCACAATGGCAAAGAGGAATATTGCTTCCTTGATGGATTGACAGGGTGTTTAGAAAGTAATACATTAGTTATAAGCAAAACACGGTATGACAATTTGACTAACTGTTGGAAATAACCTACATAATTACTTAAATTGAACATACCCACATGCAAACACTGGGTAATAACTGCGTAATGGTTTCTACCCTTTCAGTAAATGATGTGTGCCATGTGTTTGTGAGATTTGCTGTATTCAAACAACTGATTTAACAGTGACATGAAACAGGCCAATTCTGCTGGCAGAATATATATATGTATATACACGCATAGACACACACACACACAGAGTCACAGAACTGCGTGAGAAGAAAATCTCATGCAATTATCACTGCAAATGAAGCCTAATTCTAATTATATATCTATATTTTAATTTAATGTTATCAACACTAATAAAAAAGTGTATTATTATAGGCATTCATTTAAAATGGAAAAAGGTTGCACAAATGAGAGCATGAAAATCGGCTTTGGACTGAGTCCTATAAAGTATACCAGGCATGCAGGTCCATACAGGTCCTATTGAACTAAGTGTGGATACACAGTACCTGACTCCATGCCTTTGACTGACCAAAGTTTTCAGCAAGAAGTATGGCATTTTATTCACATCCTGTGTGGCGATTTTTACCAGAGATTGACACATACTCACATTGCTACAAAAGTATCCTGCTTTCCCAATGTTTGCTGAACTTCACAACTTTTTGAGAATAGAGCCTGAAATTAGCTTAGAAAATAACAGTAAAGAATCAAGCGAGTGTAAAATTTCGTAATATTTTTGTAGTCTAATACTAAATTTTTCTCTACTTTATGGAAAAGGGTTTTAAATCTATTGGATTTTCTACTGTGGAGATCTTGTTTTACAAAAAATATTTATGCATAGCTATTACCAGTGGAATTTTCACACATAAAGACCAAATTAAAATAGTGATAAATATATATACATACATATATATGTGTGTGTATATATAACTATTTTTTAAAGCTGAGCGTGCTGTTTTATTGGAGGCAACAGTCTTGATTAGAATGCACCTCCCGTCAATAGCTTTGGAGTACCAGGCAACATGCTGTAAGCACTGAATAAAAGTGCAAATTCTCTTGTGTCTTTCCAAAATCTCATTAATAAATTCCAGTTTTAGGTAATAAAATCTCTGGCCAGTCCTCCTTTCCTTTGCCCCATGGGATCAGCATCACATTGCAGCGTCTGAACTGGGCCCCCATACTAGAAATTATTGTAATCCAGGCCTAAGCTCCAACCTCTTCACCCAAGACCTGGGTAATTAAATTATGGTAATGTTAGTTAGATGAAACTATCAGATGCCATTAGCCTCTCATTTTTACCCAAACTCAATTCTGTCAAGTGTTTGAAGAGAGTGATACCTTGGTCATTTGAGGATTAAGACCAATGTCTCAGTTACATTTTATTTCCTCACAAGAAGTCACATATATTGAATTGCTAATATTGTCTCAATCATGTAATACTTTTTATTGGTTTTAAACCAATCCAAAGCCAAAAATAAATGTTACATAAATTTTCCAACTTATGAGTTGTTTGTATTTACATCAAGCTGTTAAAGCAGTGGATATGCTGTATTGTATGCACTTTTCTCAAGACACATGAATCCTATTAAACAGTATTAACAATATTTTCTTTTTGCAATGAATTCTCTTTCCATTCTCTTCCATGTTATGACAAATGATGGCATGTAAAGAATCTCTTCCATCAAAACAACAAGAAACTGTTGAATGTACTTGAAATATGTGTGGGAAAACCATCATGAGCAACGTTATGTAAAGGCACAGATGAATGAACTGGCTAATTAGTACATCATTCAAGAGTTTGCAGACTTGGAGGCTTAGCTCCCCAAATGAAATGGTTCACTTAAAATAATGTCATGATTTATTTTAGGCTATTTGATCATTCCATGGAAGGATTCAAAAACTGGGAGTTTATGACTACTCACTGCTGGAGTGAAAAAGCAGCAGGTGACTGGATCTTGGAAATCTGTGACACTCCATCTCAGCTGAGAAATTTCAAGACTCCGGGTATGACTCTAACCTTTATTTGGGCTCAGTGAATTCAGAAGAATGCTTGCAGTTGCTAATACTGCCTTGACTGTTTTCCAACTTTTATTTACAGCTGGAACATCTCACCAGTTTTAGAGTGAAGGCAGAGCTGTGAAGAGCATTATTCTTAATTTCAGTTATCAATACACTCTTCATTTTTATGTTGCTGTTGTTTGCCATTTAAGAGACATGGTTCTCTTTTATTCTGAACTTACTTCTTGTTTCCATGGAGAATTTAATCTTCTCAGGGGTAAACTGCCCTCTTTCTTGCAGTCACATGTGTTGCCTCGAAGTATAAAAAAAGACTTTGGCCATTTAGAACTACATCATACCAGACATGAATTCTTCAGGCAGAGACAGACCACTGTACCATCTGACAGGTTACCAAGAGTCAGTGCTTTAAACAAAGCCAGATCTTTACTAGCCGCAGTTTTCAAGGAAAAACATATGAAGCTGAATGTGCCACATTTTAAATAAGTTATACTATCTCCATATGCAGGCATCTGTTTTCTTGGATGTTGAATATAGATTTATCAGACAGGTCTTCAACGTAAGTTAGAGCAGCACAGAGTTACTCTGCTGTATTCATATTGCCTGTGACATTCACAGCTGATGTAGGGCCCGTATTTGCTTGGCCTATATCAGCTATATGGGACTCAGGGATTTATTTTCATGTTGTTTCTCTTTGCTTTGTATTTTTTATCCTACCCATAAGAAAAAGTGTCATTTATCTCTAGTCTAGTTGTTTACACAACTAGAAAATCCCGCTATGCAAGAGAAAGAAATTCATGGCTTGCTACCACTGGGAGGTTCAGTTGTGCTCCTG